TATATATCACGCTTGAACCGTTTTTTTTTTTTTTTAGAATTTTGTCAACTAAACCAAAAGAGTATCAACCACGTACATCCCTCAAAGACGTAATGTACTATATTAGAAACCATAGTGTATCTCCCCCTCCAGCAAATCGTTGATCCGGCAGATCTGTTCAATTATTCAAATCCCGCCCAATGCGTCCGTATTAATAACATAAAACCGTTGTAATGTGCATTGACTGTCGTCGTTATTGTTGTCAGCAGGGATACGGTGGGGAGGATCGTGACGCGATACGTGGAGAACCGAGCGTGAAAAGGTTCTCCATAGGTTCGCGCACGTACCCCGACATTGTCGAGTATATATCCCCCTTCGGCCACCTCTTCGTTCCCCCTGCCCACCCTCCCCTCCCCGCCTCGGTAGGTAAGTAAATACAATCCCGTGTGCGTGCACACTTCAATCCCGAAGTCCGCAGCGAAATCTGTGCCAACCTTAATCCTAATCCGTACGTTAATCGTACGGCTCGATCCCGTAGGACCTCGTAGAATCCCATGGCCCTGGTCTACGTCATCATGTGCCCACCGGTTTAGGTACCAGGGCGTGTCGTCCCTGGCCTAAAGTATCTCGAAGAGATGCACGCTCTGTGAAATTTCAGCGTGGATGATGCTCCAGTGAAGACGGATCGTCCTTTGTTCGTTCGGAGTCGTGAATTTCATTAGCACCGTGGCGAATAGACACACCGGTGGCAGTTTCGATTCATCATCTAACTCGATGAATTGCGCCGGCATTCGTATGCAAACTAAGGCAGCTACCAATGGCTTAGAAAGTGATTCCGCGATACCAGTTTCTGTGACTTTGATTTTTCCACTCTTAGCCGTAGAAACATGGCGAAGGTGAGAAGCTGAGAATGGCTGAAAGGTGCTTCTCTCTCTCTTTCTTCTTCAAGAACTTGTTCGTATGAATTTTAAATAAAATTCCCTCTTACGATGGGCTGACAAATGCACCACACAGGCTTGATCTCGAAGGTCTGCGGACATGTTGGATTTGTAGAATTTAGAACGTGATTCGAACGATGTACGAGGTCCGCGCGGACCAATGGCTGACGCTTGCCTATGCGAATCAGGATTATCCTTCCTGCCGGATTATCGATTCTTTTCGAAGAGACCAGATTTTCTGGGAATCGAAACGCCGCGTGGATCGTTCGTGTTTCCTAACGTTCCGAGCTTCCGATGCGAGGAATTTCGAAGCGGCAGGATTTACCTTTGGTTCCGTTTCAATGGTGGAGATAACCGCGGGCATTTATGTATTTGTGGGAAATTTAAGAACGCAAGGAAATATAGGAAATTGTCTCTGTACAATTTCGAACGAATTTTTCGAGATCGTTCATCTGACCAGCAACTCTATTAAATTCTTCTTGTTTTATACGTGCCGGTGATCGATGAAAATGGACCAAGTCATATGTTCCTCGTTTCGAGACATTGAAAGGTTCGCGTTTGAATAAATTAGAAGAATATTTTTGTACCGTGAAACAAAATATTTCAGGAAATATTTGGTCTTCTAAGATAAGAATTTGTTATGAAATTTTGTGTGTAGCTTACAAGGAAATATGATTTTTGAAGATTGAAATGACTTAGATCATCTTTAAAATTAACTGAACGTCTTAAAACTAACTTACAATAATAAAAAACAACGAATTATGTTTCTGAGTAATTAATTTTTATCGTTTCTGATTTTCTTCTCATTATTAATCAATATTTTTGTATAATATAAATAAATATAATATAAATATAAATCAATATTTTTAATAAATTGGTGGGATTTAGGGTAGTAAATCCTAAATATCTTTATATTTTTCTTCCGTTATTGCTCTAATGATGTATAGTAGAACTAGGTGGATTTCGTGTATTCTTTATTCTTCTTGTTACTTAGTTTTTCAGCTGTTTTGTTGAGATAAAATCCTTCTGCTCCATTCGTTCCGCCAAAAGTGGATTCTTTTTTCTACATTTCAGTTCTATCAGTTCATAATTATGTTCAGGGATATATCGAGCCAAAATCACTGTACCAAAAATTTATGATCATACAGTTATTAATCAGAAAAATGGTACAGTAATTAATTATTTTTTCCATAAATAACAAATTCACGAGAGCGCAACTTAGTACTTAGTCCAACTGAATTTCGTTCAACGACGCAACAACCGACTCAGTTTAACGGTTCATCGGAATTACATCAGATTATTTTATTTTAAAAGAACATGACGCGAGATGCGA